GAGATGGGATATTGGGATGGAATTCTCCTCTGGGAGGGTGGGGAGGCCCTGGCACAGGGCCACAGGGAAGCTGTGGCTGCCCCAGCCCTGGAAGTGTCCAAGGCCAGGTTGGAGCACCCTGGGCTGGTGGAAGGTGTCCCTGCCCACGGCAGGGGGTGGCACTGGATGGGCTTTAAGGTCTCTTCCAACCTAAACCATTCCAGGATTTAGATGAGTTTTGGGGCTGTTTTGACCCAGTCCTGGGTGCAGCTGAAGACCTTGGGCTGCCCAGCTCAGGCCAGGGGCTGGAGCTGGGGCTGGCTGACGACCAGGCACTGATGCAGCTTAACAAAATCACTGCCTGGATCTCTGCAGGCCCCAGATCCAGTTTTTTGACCATAAATCATACCCAAAATCTCCCTAAGTCCCTTTTCTCTGCTCTGCCTTGCACAGTCCCATGTGTTTGATTATGGACTCCTTCTTACCCCCAAACACCAACAAATCCTATTTAAGCTCCTCTTTGTTCTTTGGGGGGGGGGGAGGCAAATTTCACCTGTAAAGGTAAAACCAGTGAAGCTGAGTGGCATTTGAGTGGCATTTGAGTGGCATTTGAGTGGCATTTGAGTGGCATTTGGGTTCCTGGGCTTGTGAGCTTGCTGTGCCAGTGATTTCCAGTTAATATTCCAGGGAATCCCGCATGGAGGAAGAAGCAGCATCTTTTCTCCTGGTTGCACATGGAGCCAACAGAGCACTGCCAGGGCACTCTGAGGGCACCCCTGGGTCCCTCAGAGGGTTTGGGGTGTTCTCCTGCAGCCTCAGGTTTTTATGTTACTGGATTATTACAGGAAACTTTCCACCTGTAACACCCAGAGGGATTTGTGGGGCTTGGGGGGAACTGAAGTGAGAAGTGAATCCCCATCCTCTGAGAATTGGTGGGAAATCTCTCCAGCAGCAGCATCAACCCCCCCAAATGGCTGCAAACTCCCAAATTTTGGCTGTTTGTTGATCTGAAGGTCCTTGTTTGTCCCAAACATGAAACAGAGCTGAGTCATCCCCTCCTGAGTTAACGATTGCCCGGGGCCTGTTAATAATTAAACCCCCTAAATAAGGGTTTGAGCCACTCCACAACCACCCCCGAGCTCCTGCAGCATTGCCAGAGTGGGGAAAAATATTCAGGAATAAAATATTCAGGAATAAATCCCCTACCATTCCCATCTCCTCTGTATCAACAGCGTCGCTCCAGAGCGATGTAAATAAAGTTTCAAGTCCTGTTTAAATTTGGATTGTGGGATCTTTTGCGCTTGGGATTAAGATTTTTTTACAGCTCCCCCTGCCTCCCCCTCATGCCCGGAGGGGCTTGTCCATTATCTGCCCATTATGTTGTTGTTAGGAAAAATAAATGGGTATTTAAGGTCAGTTCCTGCCGACTCATCTCCGAGTGCATCTCTCTGTACCCAACAGGAAAAGCAGCCGGAAAAGCTCTGCTGCTTCATCATCTCTTTCGCAGAAAGGGAAGCAGAGAATTCAATTTTCTTTGCTTGGGAATGAAAAAAAAATAAAAGTAAAATTTAAAGGTGTCTGGATTCCTGGTGAAGGGAATTTTATCACAGAGCGGTTTGGGTTGGGAGGGACCTTAAATATCGAGTTCAGCTCCCCTGCCATGGGCTGGAGTGGCTTAGAATAATAAAAAAAATTCAATTTAAGTATTTTTAAGGGAATAAAATCATTTTGGTCACTCAAGTGGGACTGCAGAGTCTCTACACCAGTGACTCTCCTGACTCAGGGTCTGAGTGACAGCAAAAATCAGTCCATGGAAAGTAAATCTCTCCTTTCCTGAGTGCATTAAAAGTGTCTTATAAAAGCAACCAGAGAGTTTTATCGCTGTTCCCATCCCTGCAGGCACAAATCTGGTGTTTTTTTGGGAAGGAATTGTATGGAATAATTAACCTCTCGTGGAATACTGGGTGTTAATTATGGGGAAATGGTGCTGGGGAGGAACTCAGGATGTTCTGGCCTAGTTTATTCTGTCAGAGATTTGGGGTTTTCTGGGGTTTCGGGAGAAGGGGAGAGAGCCTGAAATCCCTGGTGAAGCCTGGGATAAACCAAAGTTTTACAGTGAATAATTCCTTTAAATGTGGCCTCAAAAAAAGGTGGGAATTGCAGGTGATGTTGAGCTTCATCTGTGGAGCTGAGGCTTTAGTCTGGTTTAAATCTGTTGCTGTGTCACAGCCCAGTTTTGTAGGTAGATACTATTTCTCCCTTGTTCTTTTGCACATTAAATTGAATTCTGAATTAAGAAGTTATTAAGAATTAATTTGACTCCACCAGTGCACAGTCAAACCAGAGAGAAGTTGGAAAACCAAAAAGTCATGGGTGGTTTTTTAAATTTTTTAAATTTTTTTGTTTATTTGATTGTTCTCCTGGTTCATTCTTCAAAAAGGAAAGAAAGGGGGGGAGGAAATACATCACACCTTCCCCCAAATGCTTTTTTTCCTCAGTGCTGGGTGATGGGATTTCCTATTCCAAGGAAAAATTGGTGAAAGGAGCTGCTCTGTGCTGGTGACTCTGTTGCTGTTTTCTTCCTTTGCACGGGGGTTCACAGCTCCAGCTTTGAAATTGCTGCTCTTAACCAGCCCCAACACCCCAAAAGTTCATTTTAGAGAACCAGGCTGCAATGATTTCATGTTTCTAAATGAGCATTAAAAGTTCATTTTAGGGCAGCTTTAAAAAATTGGCAGAAATTTGACTTCTTGCCTTGCATGTTGAACCTCATCACAGTCAGTTGTAGTTAAATTGTGGCCAGAAATGTCATTTTTTGGCATGTGTTTCACCTCATTGTTCACTGTGAAGTGTAATAGCCTCAGTTTTGGGGATCTGCTGGCTTTTGATGATTGGAAAAGTCTCACCCTTTCAAGTTAGATACTGAAAGGAAAGGGATAAGAGCTCTGCTAAGATGGTAAATCCCAGAATCCCAGAATGGTTTGGGTTGGAAGGGACCTTAAAGACCATCCACTTCCACTCCCTGCCATGGGCAGTGACACCTTCCACTAGCCCAGGTTGCTCCAACCTGGCCTTAGAGACTTTCAGGGCTGGGGCAGCCACAGCTTCTCTGGGAATTCCATCCCAGCCCCTCAACACCCTCCTAAGGAAGAATCCCTTCCCAATATCCCATCTAAACCCAACCTCCTCCAGCCTAAAGCCATTCCCCCTCATCCTGTCACTCCATGCCCTTGTCCAAAGTCCCTTTCCAGCCTTTCCCCAGGCCTCCTGTAGGCACTGGAAGGGGGTCCCACCTCTTTGGGCACAGCCCTGAGTCTCTCATTTCTCCAAACCTTGTTTTATGTTCTCCATTTGACCCCTCGATGAGAAGCAGCACCTTCCTGCCAGGAACTGGGGTTGTTAAACATTTCCCAGGCCACGAACCACAGCACAGATAAGGCCCCTTTTTCTTCCCATCTCTGACCCACAAGTTGAGCTGCAGAAACAAGTGGTTCCCCTTGTCTGGGGCTCCCCTTGTCTGGATGTTCCCCTTATTTGGGGGCCCTCTGTGTCTGGATTCTTCCCTTCTCCCAGGGGTCCCCATGTTTGGATTCTCTCTTTGTCTGAATAATCCCCTTGTTTGGGGACTCCCTTTGTCCTGAGACTCCCCTTATTTGGGGGCTTCCCTTGTCTGGATCCTTCCCTTGTGCAGGGCTCCCCTTGTCCCAGAGGTCTCCTTGTCTGGATAGTCCCCTTTTTGATGCTCCTTTGTCCCACGGCTCCCCCTGTCTGGATGTTCCCTTTGTCTGGATAATTCCCTTGTTTGGGGGCTCCCTTTGTCCCAGGGCTCCCCTTTGCTGGATACTCCCCTTGTTTGAGACTCCCCTTGTCTGGATCCTTCCCTTGCCTGAATGCTTCCCTTGTCCAGGGTCCCCTTTGTCTGGATGCTCCCCTTGTCCAGGGTCCCCTTTGTCTGGATGCTCCCCTTGTCTAGATCCCCCCCTTGCCCAGAGGTTCCCCTTGTAGCTGGGGGATACTCCCCTTTCTGGATGCTCCCCTTGTCTGAATCCTCCCCTTTCTGGATGCTCCCCTTGTCCGTGGGGTCCCATTTCCATCACCACAGACCAACTGCAGACACAACTTCTCCCAGCCCCCCTTTTTGCTCTATTTATCAAACATCCCTTTTACTCTCTTTGGTACATTTTACTCTCTCTAGTACATTTTACACCCTCTAGCCCTACATTTGTCCAACCCCACAAACCCTTCCAGGACCCGTGGGCTCTCCCAGTGTTGTGTTTTCCTCCCCACACCTTTTCTTTCAAACATTAAACTTCCCCAAGCCCGGGTGTAACTTCTCACTCCTCCTTCCTCCTCACAGGTGTTGCACCCACAGCAAGGCACTACAGGTGACTCCAGACAATTCTGGGCTCCCACTGATCTCCTGTGGGGAATTTCTCCCTATTTTGGGCTTCCACTTCACCCTTTGTTGTTGGGTGATTTTAACTCTTTTTCCTCCCACCAGCGAGGTCAGGATTGCAACATGTTCTCTTTTAAAGCTTTGCTTGAGGTCCCTTTTACTCTCTCTAGTACATTCTACACCCTCTAGCCCTATATTTGTCCAACCCCACAAACCCTTCCAGGACCCGTGGGCTCTCCCAGGGCTGTATTTTCCTCCCCACACCTTTTCTTTCAAACATTAAACCTCCCCAAGCCCAGGTGTAACTTCTCACTCCTCCTCCCTCCTCCCAGGTGTTGCACCCCCAGCAAGGCACTACAGGTGACTCCAGACAATTCTGGGCTCCCACTGATCTCCTGCGGGGAATTTTCCCTTGTTTTTCCCAGATTTGGGGCTTCCACTTCCCCCTTTGCTGCTGCGAAATCGCTCCTGGGAGCTGCAGGATTTCAACCCCTTTTCACCTCACCGGGATTGCAACACATTCCCTGCTAAAGATTTGTTCGACACCCGCCAATTTTTGGGGTAGTAATTGATGTAAACCCCAGCTTGAGCTGAGCTTTGCTGTAGCAGGAAAACCCACGCTCAGCAAAGGGTTAAAACTGTTCCTTCCCCCGATCGCTCCGGCTCCTGCCAGGCGGAAGTTGGAACGAGCAGTTCAAGTTCAAGCCTTGTTTCTGTGCATGATTTTTCCTCAGGAACCGGCCAGGAAGGAGCCCCAGAGATGGCCCAAGATTCCCAGTGCCAGAATTCCCACCTCTATTACTACAGCATCAAATTTGCCCTCTCCACCTACTCCACGCTGTTCTCGGTAGGTGCCCCGGTTCCTTTTCCATCTTTCCCGGTGTTCTCCTTCACAAAATATCCCCCCCCCCAGGGTTGGATTTGGCTTTTCAGTGTCCAGAATTCTCCCTCATGGGTTGGATTTGGCTTTTCAGTGTCCAAATTTCTCCCACTGAGGGTTGGATTTTCTGAATTTCCCCCGCCATGGGTTGGATTTCCCAAATTTCCCCCCCTTCCACATGGGTTTGATTTGGATTTGCAGTGTCCAGATCCCCCCTCCTGTGTGCTGGATTTTCCAGATTTGCCCCTCATGGGTTGGATTTGGCTTTTCAGTGTCCAAATTTCCCCCCCCCACGAGTTGGATTTTCCAAATTCACCCCTCACCCCATGGGTTTGATTTGGATTTACAGTGTCCAGATCCCCCCTCCTGTGTGTTGGATTTTCAAAATTTGCCCCTCATGGGTTGGATTTGGCTTTTCAGTGTCCAAATTTCTCCCACTGAGGGTTGGATTTCCCAAATTTCCCCCCCCTCCCCATGGGTCTGATTGGGATTTGCAGTGTCCAGATTCCCCCTCCTGTGTGCTGAATTTTCCAAATTTGCCCCTCATGGGTTGGATTTGGCTTTTCAGTGTCCAAATTTCTCCATCATGGGTTGGATTTTCTGAATTCCACCCCCTCATGGGTTGGATTTTCTGAATTTCCCCCTCATGGGTTGGATTTGGCTTTTCAAAGCCCAAATTTCCCCTTCCAAACCATCAAATCCCGGTGCAGCGAAGCCCCTCGTGCTCAGTGCTGGTTGGGTCCAAAACTGGCAATTTTTGGTGAAATCGTGGGTTTTGGTGGATTTTAAAGCTCATCCCTGGGATTTTCCTGCCCCAGAACTGCTCCTGGAAATCTTTTGGGGCCGTCAGTCACATTTTGAGCCGTTTGGAGCTTAAAAAACAAGGAAATTTAGTATTTTCACCCCATGGCATGGCCAGATCCCCCCTTGCCCGTCTCAGACATGAAGGAAGGGGAGGTTTTATCCGCTTTTATAATTTTAAAACTTAAAAATAAACCTGATTTTAAGCAGTTTTGAATTACTGAACTATGGTCAGGACTTCCCTGCACCTGGGATGTGCAAAGTGTCAGAGCAGGGGAAGAGGAAGCAAGAAATCCCCCATCCTTTTGGGGTCTCAGGAGATATAAAGTGATTTTTTTTAGGCTCAATCTTACATAATCCTGACTATATTTACAAATATTTCCTCCTGAGGGTTAGATAACCCTCGTGGCCTTGCTGGGTGTGTGTGTCTAATTGCACAGAAATCCCTGTGCAGGTGCCCAGGGAGGGTGTGGGGGCAAGCAGGGCTTGAAAATGCTTTTTATTTTCATATTTATTTCTCGTTTAAATGATCTAACTCATTGGAAAGGGCAGGGCTCACCATTAATAACCAAAAAAGGGGTTTTTTAGAGAATATCTCCCTGATTTCCTTGTGGGTAGGAAGGTCCTGAGGGGCGAGGAGATCTGAGGATCTCCTGCAGCAGGGCCAGATTCCTGCTCTGCACCCAAAAAGCCCCAAAAATCCAGTTTCTCTCCCTCCATTTCTTGCTGGTTTTACAATATTTTACAATATTTTACAAGCAACTTTTGGCTGCAAAATGAATCTGTGGGGAAATCTGAGGTTTTGGTCTCTCTCTAGGGCCAAATTCCCCTCGATTTGAGGTTTCCCCAGATGCCTTTGACCTGCTGGAGAGGCTGGGAGGAGGATTTAATCCTAATTAACCTGCACCCAAAGTTGGGGCTGTGCTTTGGAATATGGATTAACAATGGGATGATTTAATTTCTAAGTGTTTATTAATTGCTGAGGAATTTTGGGGGGCTCAGTGGGGTGAATCCACCAGCAAGAAGAGACTCATGATTTCCCCAAAAATAGAAAATAATCCTAATTAATCTGCACCTAAAGTTGGGGCTGTGCTTTTAAACATGGATTAATGATGGGATAATTTAATTTCTAAATGTTTATTAGTTGCTGAGGAATTTTGGGGGGCTCAGTGGGGTGAGAAGAGACTCATAATTTCCTGAAGAATGGAAAATAAGTAGGAAAAAAAAGGCACTTTGAATTGCTCCCACCCTGCCTGCCTTCAGCCCTGGGATGGTCCTTCCATAGGGATCCTGCTCCAGGGAATCCATAGGGATTGTGCAGCTCCAGGGAGCCTTTCAGCTTGACCTATTTCTGGCCTCATTTGCACCAAATTAATTCCCTGGAGCTGTCCAAGCCCTCAAAGCTTCGTTAATGAGCCGTGACGGGCCGGTTTGTCCCTGGAAAAATGCATTCCAGAAAAAAAAAGACTGTGGAGGAGCTTGGATTTCATGAAGGGTTTGAAATTTCCTGAGCGAAAATTCAGTGGAATAAGAGTGGAGTTGGTTCAGCACAAAGGATCGAGGAGCTTCAGGGGGAGATCCATCAAAGGGTCGTCCCAGCCTGCAAAAACATGGATTTAGATCCTCTAAATCCTTCCCAGTGCTTTGATTACAGCTGGAAAAATCCCTGAAGGAGCGAGGGATGAGCCTGAGAGTGGCTTTAAGCCAGACTTGGAGCAAAAGGCAGAGAGGTTTGGGCATCATGGGCTGGTTTTATACAGGAGGTTTTTAGGGTGAGTTGGGGCAGACCCATCACAGTTTTCTACCACAGGGTTGTCCCAGCCTGCAAAAACATGGATTTAGATCCTCTAAATCCTTCCCAGTGCCTTGGTTACAGCTGGAAAAATCCCTAAAGGGGTGGGGGATGAGCCTGAGAGTGGCTTTAAACCAGACTTGGAGCAAAGGGCAGAGAGGTTTGGGCATCATGGGCTGGTTTTATGCAGGAGGTTTTAATCCTCATTGAGGATTCAGTGGAGCAAAGACTTGGAGTTTTCTTTGCACAGAGGAAGCCTTCCTTCCTTTTCTTACTTTTCCCATAAAATTGAAAAAAGATATTTTAATTGACCCTTGTAAAAGCCTATTTTCCACATTTCTATGCACTGTTGGCAGCTGAGCTTTATATGACATAGTTAATCATTGTGTTATTGATCCCAAGATTCTACTTTCAATGATTAAAACCATCCAGCCCTTTCTAAATCACATTTTCTGGGGCATTTTGGGGGCATCCTGGTGAATCCGCCAGCAAGAAGAGTCTCATCATCTCCCAAAGGATGGAAAATAAAAAAATAAATATTAAAAAGCCACTTAGAATCCCCCCCGAGGAGGAGCAGCAGCGCCCTGTTGTTAATTTGAAGCCTTCAGAAGGTGGGGAGAATGACACTGCTGTGAGATGAGGCTTTGAAAATTAAATTTTGCCCTTTAGTTTTGCACTTCTGGTCACCTTGGCTGGAGAGTGAAGTGATGCCCCGTTCCCTGAGCTCCTCGTGGACCTCTTCTCTGACTCACATCGTCTGTGTGGGCTCAAAGGCGCCGTCGTCGTGACTTTTGGTGTCCCTGAGCGAGGAGGAATCACTGCCTCGTGTTAACGCAGCGTTGACTCATCCAGTTAATGCCATTCCCCCTGGAAAAAGCCACTTCTGGGGATTGGACCTTGGCAGGATTTGAGGTGGTGCTGGTTTGATCCCCCTGAGTTTGTGGTTCCTGTTTGTTCTCTTGTGGTTTGAGGGTCAGTTTTGTCACTTGGGGCTTTCGGGGACAAGGGGGATGTGGCACCTCTTGGGTGTTTAGTGGAAAGTGGCCTCAAGCTGTGGGGCTGGAGCAGCAGGAGGGGCTGAGGGAGCTGGGGGGGCTCAGCCTGGAGAAAAGGAGGCTCAGGAGGGACCTTCTGGCTCTGCAACCCCCTGACAGGAGGGGGGAGCTGGGGGGGGTTGGTCTCTGCTCCCAGGGAACAAGGGACAGGAGGAGAGGGAACGGCCTCAGGCTGTGCCAGGGGAGGGTCAGGTTGGATACTGGGAAAATTCCTTCCTGGAAAGGGCTGCCCAGCCCTGGCACAGTGGTGGAGTCCCCATCCCTGAGGGAATTTAACATCCCTGTGGATGTGGCACTTGGGGACATGGGTCAGTGGTGCCTTGGCAGTGAACTCAGTGACCTTGGAGGGCTTTTCCAACCCAAAGGAGCCTATGGATCTACCCCATGACCCAAGGACTCAGTGTCCCAACCTCCCCTGAGAGAGGAGGTGGGTCCATGGGATGGAATTTCTTCCTGGAAAGGGTGTTCAGGCTTTGGCAGGGGCTGCCCAGGGCGTGGTGGAGTCCCCACCCCTGGAGGTGTCCCAGGAAGGTCTGGCCGTGGCACTCAGTGCTCTGGGCTGGGTGGGATGGTGGGAATCAGGCACAGGGTGGACTTGATGATCCTGGAGGTCTTTTCCAACCTGGATGACTCTGGGATTTTTAGGACAGGATAGGACCCTGCACAACCCTTGTAGCATCGAGTGGGGCCTCTGAGCTGGAGCCAAGTCGTGCAAGGATGGAGGAGCAAAAACCAGCCCCAGAGTGACTCCAGGAGAGCTTCCCAAACTCCCTGACTCACCCCTGGGTGGGCTGTGAGCTCAACCCACCCCTCTGGCACCACCCTAACCCTGCCAGCAGCAGCAGAGCTGTGTGTTGAGTTATTTTCTGCCCGTTAATTGCCTTTCATCCCACTCTCATCTTTAAATGACTCTGGCACCAGTGGGACAGTGATTTCCACCAAGAATTCCCGCCTTTAGCTCTCCCAGATCCCCAGTTCCTCACCCAGCTCTTCCCTTGCTGTCAGAGAAATGCCTGGAGAGGAAAAACCAGCATCTTTGTTACCCTGCTAAGAGACAAAGTTGGAGCCAAACAGCTTTGGGAAAGGGCTGCAAAGGTGGGGAAGGGCTCCAGTAGCTCCTCAGCAGCTGGAGAAAAGCTGCTTAAATTGTCAGGTTTTTAACAACCCCCCAAGGGCTGAACTTCCCTGTTTCTGCTCTGACAGTTGTTTTGCTTCTTGGTGTCAGAGGGAGCTGCACAAAAGCCTCATCCCAGCCCAGCAGGTCTTTCCAGCTCCCTTGGAAAAGGTTCAGCTGCGAATTGGAGCTGTTAAAATTCTGCCTGTGGGGAAGGGTCGGTCACAGCAAGCTGAGAAATTCAAGTTTGTAATTTCAGATGGCCAGGAACATGATAGGGAGGGCTGGGAGCACCTCCCAGGGGTCGTTTGTGGGGTGGGAGGGGAGCTTGGACATCCTGGGGCACCTTCTCCATCCCCTGCCCACTCTCAGCTCCAGGAAGCACTAAAATCACACAGGGCTGGAATTAAAATCCAAGTTTAAAACCCGGTTTATAAAGAGAATTGGTGCAGGAGGCTGTGGGGATGATTGTTCCATCCCAGGGTTGTTCTAATGTAGAAATGGGATAATCACTCTCTTGTTAGAGGGAAAATACAGATTTCCTTTTTCTCTCTCGGACCAGTGGCAATTCCCAGCTTTCTGTCCTGGCATTTCCACCCTATTTAGGTGATCAACGGGTAATTAACGTTTAACTACAGAGGATTTAGCAGCAAACTTCCTTCTGTCATCGAGTGTGGGGAGGGAGGAAAAGGGTTGTGATGCCAGGACTCCAAAATGCTGAAGGAATTTGTGATAAAAACATCCCCCCACCCCCCCCCAGAATCCCAGTGATGAAAACCAGGACACCCAGGCTTTGCAAGGAGATGGGGGGAGACTTTTCCATGCTCAAATCCTGCCAAAGATGGTTGGGATGATCAGATTTTGGAGAAGTAAAGGATTAATTATTCCCTTTGTAGCACCACAGGTCCTGGCAAAGGCTTTGATGCTGCTGGTTTGCTCCAAGTCCAGCTATTTTTTCTCACAGAAATGCTGCTTTTCAGGGAACACTTCTCTTTCTCCCCATCCAAATCCCTCTGCTGCCCATCCTGCAACATTATTCCCTGCTCATCCTTCCAAGACTCATTATATTCTGCCTTCCTTTGCAATCTGCCTTGCTGAGAGAATTTCCAGGATATCTATTCCCTACCTCGAGGTGTGAGTTGCTTTGCAGGAGGCTTTTTTCGTGCCTGGAGCTGCTTTCAGTAGAAACAACTCCTTATTTTTAATTGGCATGTGTTTTTTTAGCTGGTGAGGTGTGGAGATGGGCTGTGCCCACTGCCCTGGGGAGCCTGGGCAGTGCCCAACCAGCCTCTGGGGGAAGAACCTTTGCCTGGGATCCAACCTGAGCCTGCCCTGACACAGCTCCAGCCCTTCCCTGGGTGCTGTCCCTGGTCCCCCCAGAGCAGAGCTCAGTCCCTGCCCCTCCTCTGCCCCTGCCCAGGCAGCTGGACCTGGAGTGAGGAGCTACTGGAGCCCTTCCCCACCTTTGCAGCCCTTTCCCAAAGCTGTTTTGCTCCAACTTTGTCTCTTAGCAGGATAACAAAGTTGCTGCTTTTCCTCTCCAGGTATTTCTCTGACAGCAAGGGAAGAGCTGGGTGAGGAACTGGGGACCTGGGAGAGCTAAAGGAAATCACGGTGGATTAGCAGGACTTTCCTGTCCTGAAGCCGTGCTGGCTGTGACCAGTGACTGAGTTGTCTTCCAAGTGTTTTCCAATCCCTCCCAGAATAATCTTCTCCATAACTTTCCAAGGCATTGAAGTGACACTGACAGGCCTGGAGTTTCCAGGGTCTTCCTTCTTGTCCTTCTTGAAAATCAGGAGAACATTCCCCAGCTTCCAGTCAGCTGGGACCTTTCTGGATTCCCAAGATCCCTCAAAAATCACTGAGAGAGTTTTTGCGATGACTTCAGCAGCTCCTTGTGGAGTCTTGGATGAATCCCATCAGGCCCCAGAGATGTGCAGGGATGTGCAGCAGCCTCATACATTCCACAGGCTTTCAGTTTCCCAAAGATGCTTTTCAGCCCTGCAAAAGCAATTTTGAAGCAATGGACAACGAAAACCCTTCTGGGTTTCCCTCCCCTGCTGGCAGGGGAAGCCCAGCTCGAACGGGCTCCTTCCTCATCCCAAACAAGCTCCTTCCTCAGCCTCTCAAGGCTCCAGCCCTTGAACCCCCTCCTGGGTTTGCTCCGTGCCCTTCCCTCCCTCTGATCACAGATGGATTAATTAAAGCAGGGAAAGAGGCTCTGATTGGCACGTGGAGGAATGTTTGGGATTAGTGGGGGATGCATGGTGGGTATTAATGGATCCCCCCACCTCCAGAGCCAAATGTATTTCCTGGGACATGGTAAAAGGGATAAACATGAAATCAAACCTAATCCCAATGCACCAAAGCGAGGCTTAAAATAGAGTCTAAAGATGAAACTGTGATTAAAAGCCTGTTATCATTAATGAGCTTGTCTGTTTAGTTGCTGCCTGTTCAGTTTCTACCTGTTTAGTTTCAAATAATCAAAGTGTCTGTAAAATATCACGAGTCTAAATGTCAGGTTTTGAGAGATTTTGGTTCCTTTATAGCTGAGATGGAGCCTGGAACAAACAGTGATTGATAGACATGAAATAGTGACAAAAACACACCAGAAACAGTGGCCAGGCGGAGAAGGAAAAACTCAACCCCCCAAAAACTAAGAGTTGTACATGAAAATTAAGGATCAAATTGTTGGTGTGAATTAGCAGGAAGAGTTTGTGGAAACTCATTAGGAGCAATGAAGGTGAAAGTGATGGGAAAGGAGTGGAAAAAATGGAAAATGAGGGGGGAAAGAGTGAAAAAGCAGAGGGAAAAGGAAGGGAAGGGAGTGGAAAAGGAGGGGGAAAGGGGAGAAGAAGGAGGAAAAGGAGGGGGGAAAATGAGTGGGAAAGGAGGGGGAAAAGAAGGGGGAAAGGAGTGAAAAAGGAACAGAAAGGAGTATTTTTCTCCTGTTTGGAGATGCAGGTTTTTATCTGTGGCCAGGCAGGTTTCCCCCAGGATTCTCTCGCTGTGATTTGGGATGGGAAAGGGCTGGAAAAGGAGGATGAAAAGGGCTCTGGGAGCTCTTCGGTTTCCTCTCTGCCCTTGTGAGGTGTCAGCTCGGGGCCAGCTGAGCAGCCACTCGCCCGGGGCGATGGAACAGCTCCTGACAGCGCCAATCCCTCGGGATAACGGGATAACGGGATAACGGCGCGGGCTTTGATGCTGAACGAGCTGAAGGGACGCAAAGAGCGCTTTTGGAGCCCGGTTTTAACCCGGCGTCGTTAGACTCTCCTTGTCAATTAGGGTGGGTTCGTTGGAGGGGGAGGGGGGTTGTCAGAAATAATCCATCGGGATTTTTGTGGTGCTTTTCATCCAGGGATCAAAAGCGCTCTGTGATGGCGAACTGAGCTCGGGTTTAATTGGGGGTAGTACAATGAGCTCGGGTTTAATTGGGGGCGGTGCTCTGAGCTCGGGTTTAATTGGGGGCGGTGCTCTGAGCTCGGGTTTAGTTGGAGGCGGTGCTCTGAGCT